TTATCATTTTCTCGCCTGCGGCGTCCTCTCGACCTGCCCCGCTTTTTTCACTCGGGGCTGCGCTCAGCATCCCTCCACCGTCCCCGATGTGGGTGCCGGGGAGCAGGGAGAGAGGGTCCCAACGCCGCGGCAGAGCCACGGCGGATTGCCGTCACCTTGTCGGCACCTGCGAGCCGGCCCCAAAAGCCTTAAAAGTCACGGAGGAGAAAAATCACGGCAGAGGGCAGAGAGCAAAGCGTGCGTGGCCGCAGCTGCAGCTTGTCCAAGCATTCCCAGGATGCGGCGCGGGGCTGGCATGGCTATGCACATCGCCGTGCCCACCCTGCATCCCGTGGCCGGGTAACCCCCGGCGCTGCTGCCTCCTGCCACGGTTGGTGCAGCTCTTGCAGCCTCAGCTTTTGAAGGCAGCTTCAACATCCTCAGCCCCAAGCACCTGCTGGCCACCATGCCTCCAAGGGTACCTGGGGGCTGGGACTCGCTCACCATGCCAGTGGACAGATGGGCATCCCAGTTATCAGAGGGTGCACTCTTCTCAGTCTAGGTTGCATATTTCCCCATCACCAGATGCTGGGGGGATGAAGCGCCATCGGCACACCACATCTGCTTGCATGGATGCAAACAGCACTGTATTTCAGAGCTAGTTACGCTGGCCAAGTGCTCCCTTGTAAGAATGCAAAGCGTTAAGTACTTAAATCACCGCTGAAGGAGAAAACCAATAATGGATTTTCATACCTTTTTTTTTTTTTCCCAAAATTACCAGTCAGATGCTTGCAACAAGATCTGTTCAGCAAGCAGGGCCCACCTGCACCTGTGGGACAAGGCTGCCCAACTCATTTACCTCCCATATGAACGACTGCGCTAGCGCAGGCTGCTCATCTGGTCGCACATCCCATGCTGAGAAGTGCTCATGACAAACCCAGGCCCAGTTTTAAGATCTAAACCCGCAATCATGCAACATAACCGTGCCCTATCAGACAGCAGTATCTCCATGAGGGTTTAGGAGTGAAGATGAAGCCAACTGATGGAGGTAGAGGGAAAAAACGAGGTGAGTTGGGGATGCCCAAACCCTTCATCAAGTAGAGCCATCACCGCTTTGTCTTCAGCCCAGCATGGAACAGGCTGGCCAGATGCCGAAGGGGTTAAAATATGGGACTGGGGGGACTTTGCTTTACCCCCAGCACCTGGGTGCTCCAGAAATATTCAAAAAGAACAAGGGGGTATAGGAGAGGACAAAAAAAAAAAAAGAAAAAAAGCAAGAATCCCCTTGCAAGCACCAGGCTGGCCACTTGGCACCAAGCGATTTGTCTGCCTTCAAAAGTGTTTTTATTTTGGCCTGGGCAGCTGGGTTATTTGAGGTGAAAGGAGGTCAGTTTGTCCGTAAAACAAAAGCCCCATTCCCTTTCATCCCCATAGAGGGGGAGGAGGGAAAAGAAACCACGGGAGGGAGACGGATGCTCCTCTATATATAGAGGGAGAGGAAGAGGTGTGAGAGCGTGAGAGGAGCTTGCCTCCTCGCTGCACCAGTAAGGCCAGCCCCGAACCCGCCACCTCGGCCGAGCTCCGGCGTGGGGCTCGTTGGTGGAGGAAAGGTGGAAGGGGAGATGAGAAGAGGAAGGGCTCAGAGAGAGGAAGGAAGAGCAGCCAGGGCATCCCCAAAAGCACTGCCTGCCCGCAACACCTCAGGAGGGAGCTGTGAAAACATCCCGCTGCTCAGCTGGAATGGGGAAGGGCGATCACCCCCAGGTAGCTGCAAAGCCACCTGCAGCCTAACCACCTGCCCAAAATTACACAGCCCGAACACTGGCTGCTGCTGGATGTGGGATCCCTCCGCCTCTCCCTGCCCAACCTCAGCAGGCAGCATCGGACAAGTCTAGCTGAGCATCCAGGCTGGGAAGGGACATCCAGGGTCATCTCCTAACTTTGCAGCACCCCGTTCACTGCACAGGCAGACTGGGACAAGAGGGAGGCTGGCTCTCGACTCCACTACTCCAAAAAACACCCTGTTACTTGAAAGGGACTTTTTAATTCCTTTTCCCAAGGCAGAGGCAAGACTGCCGAATACCACGTGCAGCTGGTATCTCCATCCTCTTCCCCCCTGTTTGGCTTTGCTTCTTTCCTGTAGTCCTCTGTGGTTCAGTCCTCAGTGGGCAGCAAGACACAGGGCCTTCCCTCTCCCAAGCACAGAAAGGCACCGAAACACCAGAACGAGGCGTCACACTTGAGGCATCTTCACCCATAGATTACTGAGCACCCATCACTACTGGTTTACTCCTCCTTCTCCCTGTTTACCAGCTAAGCCGTTGGACTGCCAACACCAACAGTCCAAATGCCCAAAGCATCCTGGTGGAAAGCCCACTCCAGCCAACTGTCCTGCCAACTGTCCTGAGGCCACCTGCATTCCATGGACAATAGCAACGCTGCATTTTTTTTTGCACTAGCTGCACTGCAAAAGGGTAAGACATCCCTTTTCAGTGACAGATTCACCAGCCGGTAGCCAGGAGAGCATGAAGCATATTTTGGGAGCAGCCTAGAAGCTGCTAACTATGCCCAAGCAAAGCCTGACCAGAAAGGGGGAGCGCTCAGCTCCCTGCCAGCTCTCAGGATGCAGCACTTTGGGCAGCAAGGTTTAAAAATAAGCCAGGGTGCAAGATCAGCAGAGAACTGGCTGCAGGCATCCTCGTTAGTTTAACGACTTGCCCACATCGCTTGTGAGCCAATCGCCCGTGGCTCCCCAGCGATATTCAACGTTCCCAAGCATCAAATGCAGGACCCAGTTTCCCCACGGGACTAGACAGTCCCCAAAACCAGTGCGAGGTGGGTGCACGTCACCCCGAGCATGTCGCTTTTCTCGCTCCTCTCCTGGCCCACCGCCATGTACAAGGCAATCACAAAAAGCACCAGGCTGGGAAACCCCTCCTTTCCCTCCCAGCCCAGCTCCACCGAAGCAAGACACGGGATGGGGGCAGCATCCTGCCCGCCGCTGGCGGCCGATTGGCACTTACTGAAGTAGAAGCCCCTGTCCCCGCAGACGAACTGCAGCGTATCCACCAGCTCCCCACCGCAGAGGGTCTCCGCCGTGCCGTACGCCGCAGCCGAATCCAACGCGTAGGCCAGGAAAGCCAGCAGCAGCAGCAGCATCCGCCTCGCCGCACACATCCTCTGCACCTGGGGACAGAGGCACAGCATTAACACAGAGCGAGAGACCCCTCTCTGCTACCTCCCCCAGGCAATGCCTCCCCCCAGCCCACAGCACGCCTGGGGTGAGACGCCCGGACATGTCCCTGGGATGCTGCAGGGAAGGACCGGCAGCGCTGAGCCGGCCGCTGGTGCAAGGCTGGCTCCCCGCGCTCGCCTCGCCCGTCAGCCGCTCCGGCCAGACAAAGTTTGCATTGAAGCAGTTTTTCCATTGGAAAATCCCACTTCAGCCTAACTCTGAAAGGCTTTTATTCCCCCTGCACTTTCAACGGCGTGATTTTTTATTTTTCCCCCCTTTTACATGGGAAATCATTCAAATGATTATCAGGAGGGTTGTGGGGTTTTTTTTTCAGTTCCGATGACAGGTTTTCATGCCCTACCTGAACACGTTTCCCCAGAGCAGAAACAAATGAAGTTTCAACCTGTCCTAGAGCTGCTTTTGAGGAAAGCTGGGTTTTGCCAGGGAGCAGTGGCCTTCGCCCCAGGCATGCGAGAGACCCACGCGGCCGAGGCTCGGGCAATCGAGGGGCTGATTGCACAAGCCGTGTTTGCTGACGAGAGCCGGGACCGAGAAGACATCCCTCAGGAGCAGAGCTGTCCCACGGGAAATGCACCTGAGGCATCACCAAGGAGGGCCAAGGGGGTATCAGTCGGCACAGAGGATTAAAAACGAAACTCCCCGGATATTTGCTAACTAACCCAAAGATTTCCTCTGACTCGGCTCCAGCAAACAGCATTACCTCCGTGTCAGCTTCTGCAGGTGTAAAGCCAGGGTGCTATTGCCTCACTGGGTGAAGCAAGACCCATGGATGGTTTGAGGCACTGGAAGTCCCTCAGTGATCATCATCACTGTATATATACAGCCAAATAACGATGGCAGCCAGAGAGATCAGCTCAAAACAACGAGAAGTGTGGCAAAATAGTAGCCAGCATGGGGCAATGCTGAACCTCAAGCTGAGTGTACCCTCTCCCCGCTAACGCTCAGCCAAGATGCTGGGTTTCACGTCCAGCCTTCATCACCATAGCATCTGAGCAACTCAAGAATAATATCAGTTAATGAATATTACCTCACCCCCCGGGGATGCTCAGAGATGGAGCCGAAGCCCAGGATAGATTAAATGACTTGCCCAAGGTCACGGGGGAAGTCTGCAGCACAGCCAGGAAATTAGCCCAGCTCCCCCAGGGCCCCGCTACGGTCCTGCCAGCAATAAAGCCACCCTTGCTACCAATTTTTTACTAGCACATAGCTCAAATCGTCGCTGCTAGAAATACGCCCTGCTTACGAGTCACAAGCTCTTGTGAGTGGCGGGAGGACAGGGATCAGCAGCAAGAAAAGCCAAAACGGAAGCTGGAAGGTCTGGGTGGGCTGAGGGGGGCATCCCCCCCGGCACGAGCTTCGATGCCCATAGTATAGCTCAGCCTGTGCTGGCAAAATGCCTCCAGGGCTCTGGAAAAGAGAGGCAGCAGCACTGGGAACAAACCGGGCTCAAACCAGCCAGTGATGGGAGCGGGATCAGCTTTTCCAGCAACACCAGTCCTTTCATCCCACCTTGGGGGCTTTGGTCTAAACTACAGTAGGAGCAGAGGGATGGCACCGGGCTGTGATTGCACCACACTGCCAAGCTGCAGTGTTTTGCCACCAACAGCTTTTCACCTTGATTTGTTTATCGAGTGGCCGACGGGTGTTTACTGGGCCTCCCCAGCATGACCGCAGCGTCACCTGCGCTGCTTGAGTCATGGCCCCGGTGCAGCAGCATCAGCAGCTGGATCTCCAACTGACATGACAGCAATGATCCTGCTCCTTCTCTTTTTTTTTTTTTCCCTATTTTTTTTTATGTTCAGCTCCTGATTGCTCGTGTCCCTGGGGCACAGGTAGTGCCGGCAGCTCATTGCCAGGGCGGCAGATGCACACCAGCCAATGCCGCTGCCGAAGCTGCTGACGTGGGACTTGAGGACACCCAAATAATCCCCCGTCCCCAATTAGGCTTGCGCTGGCTGCGAGCGCTGCGGCTAACGAGCAGGCTGCGCGCTGGCCTCCCCAAAGCTAGACCCGGTCCCCCAGAAGGAGCTTCCTTGGTGGCAGGGGTGACAAACGCAGTTTTTCCTCCATATCCAGTCTAAAGAAAGGGTTGAGATGCTCTGAAGCAAGGGGAGAGTGAGCTTTTGTCGGCAGGGCGATATCTGATGCTGGGGAGACCTGATACCTTCTGTGGAAAAAAACTTGTGATCCTTGGAAAATACCCGCTCCTGCGCAACCCACACTGCAAGCACAAGGTGGTCCCTGGCAGCCCTCCACTGCGAGCTCTTGTAGGATACCCACGCACCCCATAACTCCAGCCAGTAAGCCCCCCTGAAGCCAAGAGGACAGGGACGGTCCAAATGCTGTCATCCTGGGCTAACACGGAGGTTTGCGATGTGATGAAGTCCTCCCTTTGCTCGCGCATCAACCACCAGCCCTTTCCACCGCTGTCACCTTGGCGTCTCCCCGCTCCCTCCAGCAGCCGTGTAATGAGAAACCGGGCAGCAAAGCAAAAAGCATCTTTATTTACTACCCGGTGCTGCAGTTTCTCTCCAGCTTGACGGAGCCGCAATCCAATCCAACCCCGTGAGCCCTTCCCTCTCACTTTGGCCCTACTGACCCTGCCGAGGAAAAGCCACCAGGCTTCACCCAAAGGCTAGGCAGGTTCCCGGGGTGCCCTCACCGGCTCAGCGCATCCCGATGACCTTTCAATTGATCCTCCCCCGGTCCCACCTCTCCTTAGCAGGGATGAGCAGTACCCAGGCAGGAGAGCTCATACCCGCCCTGCTGCACCTGGCAGAACAGGCACTGCTCCCCAAAATGGGACGGCACAGCATCGCTGGGTACCTGCATCCCACCACCCCCGTGCAAGCATCATGCCAGCTGCCCAGGTTGCACGCAGCTTCAGTTGTCATGGCCTAATCCCACTCAGCATGGTGAGTCGAAGCCCTATGAACCCCTCTGAGCCTTCATTTTCCACTGGAAACATAGGACGGCACTGCTTTTGGTTTCTCTTTCGAGCATTAGGACAGGCACAGAACCCTTAGCTGTGGGACAGGGGTGAATTCACACCAGTGGCTGGAAAACCCTTTAGCTTTTATTAGAAAGCGTCTCTCACGCGAGAGGTAACAGGAATAAGGCAGTGAGAGGTAAGCGGGCCGCTTTCCTATAGGACAAGGTCCTGTGTCCACTGGGAGAGAGGCTACACCCAACGACGGTTCATTCCTGCCAAAGGGGGTTCAATCAGCCATGCCGGCTGCTGTTCCCCCTCATATGCCCACAGAGAGCTCAAGTGCTTCAAGATGCGGTTTAAACCAGAGGCGGTGGGAATGGCAGCACGAGACACGCCGTGTGCCCAATAACCCAAGAGCCAAATTCCTCCTAACGAGGGCGCAGACCCCACGCAGCGTGCAAGAGAGTAATGCAAGGGGAATTTCTTGGCTGCAGAGGTACGCTGTACCATCCTGGGAATTGCACCCGAGAGCAGCCTTCTCGGCGTGGCAGGGGCTCAGACAAGCCATGGGAGCACAATGCTGGCCCCCCTCCTCACCTGGAGAGGGCCTGCTTTGCTCTCCATCCTTCCCGTCCCTCTCCTGCCTTCCCCCGCATCCCCAGGTCCCCGTGCGACGCTTGGCTGCTGCGGGAGCCAGCTCGGAAGAAAGCCGCTATGCATGGGATGCTCCCAACTGGCTTGGGACTCCCACGTATTCCCCCCTCACAGCACAGGCTGCTGCACCCATGGCCGGGAACCCCCAAAAACCTCTCGGCAGCCCCCAACCAGTGGGGATGCGCCAACAGAGATGGTCCTCTTGGAGCGGCTGCGGTGTGCCGGGATCGAGCCCGAGGGCAAGGCTGCAGTGGAGCCACCCTCCCGCCTGAGGCCGTTAAAGGCTTTTTCAGGATTTGCTGCCGAATCAGTTGGATTGACGATTTCTGTCCAGCTGCTGGGGAGTCAGGGGCCAAGAGGCCACAATGTGCTACTCGGCCCTGTTGCCAAATCTCGGAGGACAGCTCAGGCATCCCTTGCATCCAGGCTTGTGCTGAGCCAACCAAACCACGGTGCCTCTCTTGGGCAACAAACATCTCCCCAAAAATGGAGACTAAACCTCCTGTCTGACCTAATTCCTTCTTCAGTCTGGCCTTCATTACAATTTAATATGAACAGAACAACGTAGGAGGGAATTGACAGATGGCCCAGTCTGCAAAATTTGGATTTGGACGGCAAAAAGAAAAAAAAAAAAAATAAAAATCTCACTTCTTTGTGGAGCAGTGCAGCATTTAAAAGGGAGCACGGCGAAAAGTCATCGGCCCAAACCCAGCAGCATGTGCAGGAGAAGAAAACCCCAGTTTGTGCATCCCAGCCTTCACCACCCTCCACCCCTCCAAAAAAAAAAAAACACCAAAAAAAGCGGGCAGACTGATGTTTCGATGCTCTGACGACTGCCTGCGAGAGATGCTGAGCGTCTCTCTGTGCTGCTCCTCTCGGAGGGCAGCCCTCGGAGAGCAGGGAGCTGACCCGGTTTCGAGCGCGGGTCTCCTGCAGGGGCAGGACGCAGGCGTGTGCGCCAACCCCGCACGTGCCAAGCGAGTGTCGCCCCTGCCCACAGGCAACCTCTCGCAGGGAGCCGGGCCACCATGCCCCGAGGTGCCAAGTAGCAGAAGGCTAGTGGGGAGAGGCAGGTGCCTTGGCAGCCAAAAACCCCCCTGGGGCTGCATCTTGGGCAGAGGCACAGGGATGAGGCGCCCAGCGGTACCCGAAGGGAGAGGAGCCGCCGCATGCAGTGCTGCAGAAGAGCCTCCCTTTTCATCTAAAAGAGAAAGGATGGGATTTCCAACCCACAGCTTGGAAGGAACAAGCTTCAAAACACAAAACTTTTGACCAGCGAGCTGTCAGGCGAATGAAAACAACCCAGGACCGGGGGTTTTGCTGGTTAGCTCAGGC